TGTCATTATATGAGTAACATAGCTTTCACTAAAATAAAAAACCAAAAATTTAGCATTTTTGCTCTTATATCTCAGCTTTCATTATGTCACAGCTGGCTGGACTGAGAAAAAAATGGATTAAATGATAAAAAGTTGACACTTGATGATTAGAGGGTGTGACTCACATTCTGCACTGTGACAAAATGATCAATCTGCCCATACGTATGGCTCAAGGAAAAACAAAACTATAAATGCTGAGTATATTAAAACATTTAAATGCAATGATGAACAAAATAGACAGTAAAGAATACTCTGAGGCAAAACTAAATGAAAGGATGAAATGGGAGGTTATAAGCAGAATACTGATGCTAGCTTCCTCCTTGAGGGCAACTGCAAATTCTGGTGAGCTCGAGTTTTAGCTTTCATAGATTTTCAGAGTATCAGGTATAGGAGAAAAGTCTAGTGGTCTAAATTAAAAAGTCTAAATAATTCCACCATAAAACTGAATCCATCAAGTTTGTTAGCCTCTCTGTGTAAGTATAAATGGAAGTAAATGTCCATTCATGGAGAGTTTTACAAAATCATATTCTTATCTATAATTCTAGTGCTAAATGAGGGGAGAAACAATCTTTCTAAAGTAAAAAAGAAACATGTTTATGTTCGCTTGTGGCCTGATTTTACTTCTGTGGTATGAAAAACCTCAATGCAGTACTAAAGTTTAAAGTGCTCCTGAGTTGCTACATCCCCTATTACCTGGCAGAGAGAACTGTAAATTTTCTTTGAAAGAACTTGTCTTCAGTCCATACCTCAATTAGTTCTCAAAAGTAAAAATTTAAATGATATAAATTTATAACAAAAACTCCATCAAACATGTAGGGAAACAAGAGATCATCATTTGGAGTCTCCAAAATAAGTGTCAATATTATAACTCTTTACACAGAACAAATATGTTAGGTTGCCTAAATTAACAATCATCCTGAAAATATATGGACAAAGGATTATTAAAAAGACCTACAAGACTTGATAAAAGACTCAAAAGAATGTTTTGAAATTGAAAACTGAGATCAAGATCCCTAGAAAAAGACTGAAATAGAGAGTTGCATGCAGAAGCTTATTTAGATTATTCTTGGGGAAAATATCTCTAAAGCAGAAAGACAAGCTGGATTGGCCAGAAGGGATGGAAGATACAGTGGCAGTATCATAAACTTTGGAGTCAGCTACTCCTACAATTACTATTTAAAACCAGACATATTGTTGCTATCTATTATACAGAAATGCTGCCAACCCCCAAACTAAATATAATGGCAATAAGGGGAAATGAGAAGACAAACATGAAGATTCTTCAAGAATTCTAAACATTCTATATAAGTGAGTTACTTTGACTACACAAGAATCAATAACCGAGTCACTGGAGGTGGACAATGTTAGTCTCACAACATTAAGTAATTGACCAAAAGGAATTTGCTAAGTATCACTGTACTCAATTTTCTCCCTTTTAGAGAGGCATTAAATAACTACAGAATTGTCGTGAAGGATTAAATAAGATGAATATACCTGAAAGTTTAAGGATAAGCTTACATTTGATCATAACAGAAGATGAGATCAAAATATTTGGTGAATTTATAAATTTTTAAAAAGAAATTACTACAGTAAAAAACAGTGCAATCAATCTTCCTCAAAATAGTGTACCTTCTTTCAAACATTCTTATCGTGTCATTCTTGCTACTTTTTGCAACAGTTCTGGAGGTTCTGTAATGTTTTTCAGAGGTATGATAGAAAATACAGTGAAGGGGCCGGAGATTTAGCTCAGTGGTTCCACCACCTGCCTCGCAAGTGCAAGGACCCGAGTTTGATCCCCGGTACCAAAAAATAAGAAAAGAAAAAAATATATACTGAATGCTGCTGCCGAGTGCCATGCAATAGAAAGACAGGTTTGCAAAACTATTCTTATCTGTCCTCATGTCCATATTCATTGACTCTGGCTAACTGCAACTTCTACTTTTCCCTAAAGTCAAAATGACTATGAAAGTTTAATCAATGGAGGACCTCAAGACAGCCACAAAAGCACAAGCAAAAACACTCATGAAAAATCACTTTCAGAGCATCTTCAGAAAGTCACAAGAATAATGGGATTATTGTGTTTGTAGCAATTTGGAGTATTTTGTGGGAAATTAATTCAATGTGGCTTTTTATTGTTGTATATATATATTTTAATTTAAAGATTTGCTGTATGTCTCAATCATACCTCACAGCAACTATTAATACTTTTAAAAAAGAAGAAGCAGATTATTGTCATAATTCTCAATGTAGCATCTGCCTCCATTTGTCCTATATTTCTCTCAATATGCTCTTTAAGCCCCTGTTTCTAAGGCATTTTCTGACCATGGCACATACAGAGCTTAATAATTTCCTTTCAACAAATAAACACTCTTTTCCTAAAATTTTATCTTGATTGGAATATAAGTACTATGTACTGCAGCAGCTAGTGGCCCTTGAGTCTTTCTCTGACATTTTTGCACATTTAATGTAAAATTGCTCATTTTATCCTTTCAAAGCAATATACCAAATATTTGCATAAAAACCCTATGCATTTTGGGGTGTATTGACACATTATTTTTTATTCTATCAGTACTTGAACAGACTTACTATATATTAGAGTACTATATATATATATATATATTATAGAGTACATAGATTTTATTGGCAAAAATATTCACTGTTAAGCAAATAATATTCAAAAACATATTTTTCATCTGTGCCTTGATGAGCAACACTTTCTTCCTTTGTTTGTTAGGGTTTTTTTCTACAATTAGAATAGAATAAGCAGAAGTAGAATTACTCAATTGAATACCCCTACATTTTTTTCCTATAGCTTTTAAAACAGAAATGTACTGCTCTTTTGTGGTTAAAATCTTCAATCTACGGAATATCAATTCTAATATTCTATTGATCAAGGATAGACTCTAACACACAAATAATTCCTTTCCAGTAATGAACAAATAGTTTGCTTTATTCTGGATGTCTGACCAGGTTTACCCTGTTCTTCTTTAATGAGAATCTGGGAATTCCTGGCTTCTACAATAAGCTGTCAACATGAAAAATCCACACTCTAATGTCAATTTGCAGTGCTTGTGGTTCAAAGGATATTTATAGCACATGTGATTTATTTTTCAATCACTTAAAATTTAACAAAAAACTATACCATAATTAATCTCAAATAAATGAAAGGTAATCTATTTTCACAAATTTTGGTTGAACAGCATAAAGTTTGTCATTTCTGAATATGCTGTTAGCAACAATAGTACAATAGCTATCGAAGTTTGTATAAAGGAAATATGTTTTAAAGTCATTACCTAAGTAAAAACTAAAACATGTACTCTACTTTTATTCTAGGGAATGCTTTCATTGATGTAGATAAGTAGATATGCTATATTATATGTTTCCAGGGCTTTTATTAAAAGATTAAGCATTTATTCTTCAATGGCACCTCACACTATTGCAACCTAACACATGATAATTTTTTTTTTTTTTTTTGTACCGGGGATCAAACTCAGGTCCCTGCGCTTGTGAGGCAGGCGGCAGAACCACTGAGCTAAATCCTCGGCCCCATGATAATTTTAATATATGTTTTTATTTTTATATTTAACATACTTATCAGTGGTAGTTCCCCAAAACCACATATAAATTAATCATATATTCTTTTACTATAAGTACACAATCATTAACTAACTAGATATATTAAAACTATCATTGAAAGTTATATACAATACAATGCTACAAAAAAGTAGTTAGTGCATTTTCAAAATTTTATATCAGTATGTATAGGTATATTTGTATGTTAGATAATTTAAACATATGGCATTATAGGTATCAAATTCAACAGTTGTCATTTCTTAAGTGGTATTATAGTCAACATTCATTTCTTACATATTTTTATGTTATTTCGTTTGATTTTGTTTTAATAGCCAAATTTTTTTGAAATAGGCTGTGGAGAAAAGATGAAAACAACCTCCAGAACATAAAATTATAGATTATCTTAATTTTCTTCTTGACTATGATTTAAAATCTGTGTGATTGAGTGATTAATTTATATAACACAATGTAGAACTCTTTTAATGAACTAATATTCTAAAACTCCCTCATTTGTGGCCTTTGTAAACACATTTCCTTGTAGACTTTTTTCTATAAGACATGATTGTATAAATATGGTTAAATTTTCTTCAGTGAAATTTTTCAATAAAATTCCTTAACCATGGGAACAAATCGTTAAGTCACCAAACTAAATATAGTACATCACAGCTAGGGAATTGTTTGGCCTTCTTTAACCTTTTCTAGCTAATTCCATGGTGATTGGCAATTAAGTGATTTCTTTTCCTGGTGGTCATATTATTATTTTTATATACAGTTGCATGTAACAAAGTGAGAAACAAAATATACCTCTTTATATATAACAAGAAAAGTATATTAGGAATATTGATTTCCATTTATAAGATTTTTAAAAAATTAAAAGCATTAAAAATTCTGTAAGCCTTCATTTTAAATATTTTATTTTCTTATATTTTAATGATTGCTTCAGCAATAATCCTTCTTTATAAAACACATGGACATTTATATCTTATTAATTTGTTTTAGAATCTTTATTAAATGTGCATATCTTATTTCTTTATTATTTTCCTGATTTTTCTTACTATTAGTGCTTCTATTTAAGTTCTCATTTTACTGTGCCCCTTCAGTCATGTCCAGAAATGTTTTTGATCTCTGAGAGACAACTTTCAATTGGAGTTCATTTCCAGGATCCAAGCCAATCATAATTTCATTTAGTAATGTTTAGGTATTCCAAGCTTGCTAGCTACATACAAGTGCATACTGAAAAATAAATATGCACAGATTTACTATAAGGCTATAAGAAAGCAAGTCATCTGACTACCAGCAATCTAATTTTTAAAATCTGTTTATGATTTTCATCATAATGTGATAGCAATATGATTTATTAATCATTCTGGCATTTTTCTCCTTGACAGCTCCTCAGCTGCTGTTACACCCTTCTTGGATGGGTAAGTACTGGACACTACTTTCAAACTATGCACCAGGTTTTATATGTTGAGACATTTATTTTAGTCACTTAGTATCTATTAAGAGGAAAAGTTGAAATTTGACACTCCCCCAAATTTTAAAAACATGGTTAAAGGATTCAAGTTAACTGAGAATGAATAAAACATATATTCACAGATGCAATTGAAACAGGATATTTCAATATATTTAACTCAGAGTAAGTCCAAATTATCTATATATAACATTTTACTTAATTACTGTCAACTTAGATTTGATGTTACTGACATTTTATACATACTAAACACAAGCAATAAAAATAGAACAAAACCAATGGAGAAGACTATGTATATATTAGGAAACACTCACATTGATGATTTACACAGCTGAGCTGTAAGCAAGTTTGTCTTACTAGAATCCTCATCAAAAAATTTAAGAAAATTATTAAATAAATGAGAGGGGGGGATTACGCCAATTATATAATCCCCTGTGGTAAAAAGAAAGCATTTTGGTTTAATGTGGACAGACACATTTCATTTCAGAGATCCAGATGAAATTCAGGCATATATACTACATTAAGTAATACATTGTTCACCATATATAATACACAGAAATCTTTGTTAGATGGCCAGTTTATATTTTTGAATTCCTGTCTGACCTATTGCTTGATTACTGTCATCGCATCTCTGTAGATTGGTTTTAAATTATTGAAAAATATATTGTAGGAAGCAAGATAATATGGATTCCTGTGATTGCTTCTTGATGTAATTTGATGTGTTCATTTCAAATTTTAGAAGAAATATGTAGTTATATAAAGAAGATGATCTTACTCATATTTCATGTTTCTTTCATCAAATGAAAGATATGTCTGTCATGATTATTTAAATTTTTAATGTGAGTATCTAAAGTACATTCTCTGGTGTCAATTGGGTAAGTATCCATAATCTTTAAACACTGGACATTTTGCTGGGCAGATTTTGAATTGTGGCTTTATATTTCCTTAAGCATTCAGATATTTTCTGTCATACTTGTTTATAGAAGTTTAAAAAGAGTTAATTCCTAAACATCTGAGGAAAATGCAAACATAATGCTATTTAAAATATGTTCCAACCTTGGAAAGATGATTAAGAAGCCAGAATTGTTTTACCATCTTCCTATAAAATCATAATGTACATCTAATATTTTAACCAAAAGTTTGGAAATTTGATGCAAGTATTCATGCAGAATAAGAACAGACATCGGTGATTGTACTGTCCATGTTTATCCAGCTGTTTACAGAATTTCTCACCTGGTGTGGTACAACTTGAAATCATTTTCAGTGTACCCACATGGATAAGGAAGAATCTCTTCCCTTAGATTCAGAAATCTGGCACACAATCAACAGAGGAGCAATCACGTGATGATTTATTCCTTGTTTAATAAAAAGTGGGGTATGTCTGGTGTATTTTAACTTGTAAAGAGGTAGATTTGTCAATTTCAATCTTTTATAGTGTGTAATAATATAAAGTACTAGTTAATGCCATGAGACTCAAGTATTTTGATTTGTAAGTCACTAACCTTTAGTCATCCTTAATCACTGATAGAGATTCTGTTAAGGTCAGGTAGGGTTTACCTTTTAAAGCTTTTAGTAATTTACCAAACTATTTATCTAACATTATTAAAATGACTTTTCATCAAAAGCAAAATATTTTTCAAAATGAGCACATCTTTTCATTTTCATTTGGAAGTGACAAAGATGAATTAGCTTATGTGTAATACTTGTTGCTGCATTTATCATGGGGTGTTCAGGCAATTATTAAGTTATTTTTAAATTAAAAACATTTTAATCATAGTCAATCTATGCATAGAACTGCTGCCTCAGATTCCTTATCAGGTGCTGTAGGCCGCAAAAGGTAGAGACTCCAAAGGACATCTCTGAAAGCAGTAATAAAAAACTTAAGGCATTGGAGTACTTGGTTTTTGAATTTGAGTTTTTCAATTTGAATTTGAGCAAAGATTAAGTTATGAAAATTTTTAGAGATATGTATAGTCTATCAAACTCAACTATATAATTACGAGAACTTCACAATTTATGTAGAGGCAATAGCACACAAATGGTAAGATTTAGGTACCTTACTCTTACATTATGGTCAAGTATTTCAATAATCCCCAACTGTTGGAGTGCTCATTTGTCTTAACTAATCTGAAGCATAAATGAATACAAATGATAATTTTGAGTCATAAGGACAATATACATATTTTAAAATATATACATATATGATAACTATATAAAATGCATTTTTATTTATTCAGCATTTTCTCAGAATGTTTTTAAAAAGTTGATATAGAAGTACAGAGGAGAATAATGGTTTTCAGGGACTGGAGTGGTTAAATGATGAGGGCTGAAGAAATTAAAAAGATACAAAATTTTACTTAGGAAGAATAATTTCAAGATTTCTATTGTACAACATGCTGACTGTAGTTAATAATTTAGTATGTTCTTGAAAAATGCTAAGGCAGTAGATATACTGTTTGTAGCACAAGAAATAGTTATATTCCATATACATTATGTTAATTCACTGCATTTAGTCAATGTATATATACTTGAAAACATTATGTTTTACAGGATAAATATATACCATTCAATCTGTCAACAAAAGTATGAATTTCTAAAAAAATCTGAAAAAAAGTTAAATTTAGAATGCCTGCATATTGCATAGAAGAAGTACATGTCTAGATAAAGGAAAAACTTTTCTTTCTGATTTCAATTGTTACCTAAACAAAAAAGATAAGCACATACATAATTTACAAACATACAATTTTAGAAATCTTTTCAGAGATGAACAATTTAATTACATGCTGCTTGCATATTTACCAGTGAACTTTTTTGCAGTTGTTACATTTCATTTTTTATTACAAAACTCCAGAGAACTAAAAGAGATTGTAATTGTACTTTCAAAGTCATAATTGAAAGCTTTCAGAAGTTAAACTCCTTGATTGAGAACACTGTAAGAAAAAAAAGAAGTTATCATATAAGTTAAATTGTGTCCATCCCAAATTCATATATAGCTTCCCAGCATCTCATAATATGTCCTTATTTGGAAACCATGTCTTTACAGAGGCAATCAAGTTACTATGAAATGACTAGGGTAGTTTCTAGTCAATGAAACAAATGTCATTGTCAAAAGGGAAAATTTGGACACATAAGACTTACACAGAGAAAAAGATCCAGGAAGAAGATGGCTATTTCTAAGCCAATGGATACTTAAAACTCCCAAAGGTAGAAGGCAGGTCTGGAACAGAACCTTTAAAAACATCTTGTTTTCATATTTCTGCACTCCAAAACAAACTGTGAGCCAATAAATTTCTGTTGTTCTTAACCAACTAATTTAAAGTATTTGCTACCACGTACTATAGAAAGCTAGCATATTATCATAAAAATATTTTCAGGTCTGAGTTTCAGATTTCACTTCTATAACAGCTCTATATCGGCTCAAGGGAATCTATGTAGAAAAGTGGAACTGTATTTATTAACATTGAAGGGCAGTGTTGAAATTAGCAACATTAGTTTTCTAACATTCCTAAAATTCGAAGAGTAATAAGGATCAACTTTCTTTCCCAATTGGTTGTAAATATTGAATAAATACCATGTGAATGCGGCCATCAGTGTATAAAATAGTTGTACAGATTCAGACTATGAATTTAATTTTCTCACTGTACATATGTCTTCATGTCATCAAACAGGGACTGAGGGGGTCCACAAAGAGAAGACACAGGCTTCTCCTCTCCCCATCCAGTTTTGCTGAACATCACAGACAAGTTTTAGGGCAAGTTTATTAGGCAGAACTGAAAAAAAAGAAACACTCTGGAAAATAGATGGGAGGTCCAAGAGAGAGAGATGCTTTATTAAATGGAGATGGGTATATTATGTGGTCTTGGGTTGTGTTTTCAAGATGTATAATCTAGGATGTGTATTCCTACTGTGTGGCAGATGGCCCATCTGGAAGGCTATGTTAGGATGCAAAGTATTTACATGTGCTTGAAGCTGAGATATGTCGTCCAGTAATATTACTCCTCCTTGAGGATGGAAGTCTTTAGAAGGAAGGGCATTGACAGGTGAAAGCCCAGGTCCAGAGCCAAATTTACAGGTCTATAGTGTCTTCAAGGCCTTTTATCCTCTCTCTCTCTCTATTTTAAGGGGAAACTAAGCATCTAGATACATATTTTTACAGTGTGTGTATGTATATATGCGCTCATACACAAATATGTGCCTAATTTTTAATCCGGTAAATTCATTATGAAGAAAAGTCCCTACAATTGAATCATAAATTTTCAATCTTTTGTAAAAGAAAGGAATGGAAGTTCAGATGCTCAAATGTTCTAAGAGCACTGCTCTCTTCTTCATTGTGCTCTAGGATCTTTGCAGAAGCTGGGAGCCTAGAGGCCTGTCCAGCCTGCAGTAATGCTACATTTCTCTTTCATTTTGTGCCCTGCTTGCTTGCTGTTATGCATAGTTAACAATGCCCTCCCTCCTGCTGTCACCCTCATTTCTCTAGTTCCTGAGCTCACTGATGGGAGAAGAGAACCATTACTAAACAATGACCGCAAAGTGCTGAAATGCTCACCCAGCCATATGATCCTTCTATTTACTGTCCTTTTTATTTATGTTGATATTTGCTTAATCTAGGATGTAAGAACTTGACATATGCGGTGATTTAACCAAACAATTGAAATAAATATTATCCACAGTTCTTTCTATCATTAAATGAAATGATATTAATAATACGTAGCCTAATGATTCTACTCACACCAAATATCACACTAACATCTTTGGATTCACTTTTTAAAAATATATAGAAGATGCCATTGTAGCATTCTGTGCTGTATTTTATAAAGGGAAAATAAACAGTTGGGGAACTGGAGCACACCCTCCATTAAGCACTATGATTTTTTTCTTCAGTGACAGGTTATCAAAAGCCTGTGATCACAATAAGATAAAAACACAATCCTTATTCTGTAAAAATCA